TGCAAATTCTGGCATTGCATATTTCACGGGGCAATACTTTGTTACCAGCTTATGAGATGGTAACAAAATTTACCGGGTACAAGAATACACAGAATGCGAAAAGGGTTTAAAAATTGACAGGAACTTTATTTACCGGTTACAAACTTTTTATTACCAGCGCAGAATAGACCTGTAAGTGTCCTTTGGTCAGTTAAAAAAAAAATCAAAATAACGGTATTTTAGTTTTGGTTTCTTTTATTTAAATGTTTCTCTTTTTATTGTTTACATAAATTTACTATAATATACATACATAATTTGTTGTGGCTTAATTTGTTTTCATACACTCACAACATATCGGCAAATTCAGCGGTTTTTCGTATTATTTAAAGTATACCTTTTGTTTGTTGCACGTACATACAGATATTATAGATTTTAGTATTATTTTTTGTTTGATTTAAATTTTTTTTATTCTTAAGCAGCAGGTGTTTGGCTTGTTCTCTTTCTTCGAATAGGTTGTTCAAAAATGGTATTCACCTTTTTTTGCCAAATTCATAACATTCTGGGACCATTAAAATTTTTAAACTTTTATTTTTCATTTAACTATATTAGTTTTTAAACAGGTGCGGTTAGAGTTTGTGTTTTCAATTATAAAAAAAAAATTAATTTTTAATCTAAGAAGTTTAACTACTTTCATTAAAAGTTTAAGTGGTAGATAGATAGATCTTAAAGAATGAAGAAATATTTATGAGTAAAATTTAGTTACATATCTAGTTTGATGACAATGGCGTGTGATGATATGATTTACGGTAGTAAGGGCCGGTTGTTCAGTGTCTGGTTATCACTACCTCTCAGTTAGACATCATTATTTTCGACATCATACGTGTATCATGTGATCGATAAAGCAGTCGTTGTATTTAACTGGGACATCTACCTCCGATTTGTGTTAACCAGACAATGAAAAATTGGTTCTAAAAGTATGAAAAAAGTACACCGTGTCGATCTCTGCATAAAAATTATCGATTGCGCTAGCATCAGCAACACTATGTAGCAGTGTACATGACTGCCCATCATAGCCACTTATGTGCAATCGCATTTAATTTCCGCTTATAGCAGTTTTTGCGCAGTTTTGGATGCGGTTAGCATCAATTTGTGTAATTTAAACTACATAGTTCGCAAACGTTTTAATGGCCGAATATATGTATATAGTAGTGCACACCACTCGCTATGGGGCAGTAAATANCCATTAAAAGTTTAAGTGGTAGATAGATAGATCTTAAAGAATGAAGAAATATTTATGAGTAAAATTTAGTTACATATCTAGTTTGAGGACAATGGCGTGTGATGATATGATTTACGGTAGCAAGGGCCGGTTGTTCAGTGTCTGGTTATCACTACCTCCCAGTTAGACATCATTATCGGCG